GTAGCAAAAGTTGTTTACCTTGAAGAATCAAAGTTTTATTTAGAAAAAAACATTCTTCAACTCTAATTAAGGAAAAACCATTCTATTTGACTTTAAGAAAACGTCTTTTATAATTTATTAAATCGTTGTCTATTATATGCCACTTTGAGTTGACTGAATAACCATTTTATCACACTACAATATAACTTATACTCTTAAGTAATATGAATGAAGGATTGGACAAAAATACGAATAAATCTGTTACTTATTTTAAACGAGGTCTAAATGTTACCAGTAATTGCCGTAATACACGATTAGTAAAAATTTAATCATATTATAGTGACTAATGGAATATTGGAATATTAAAAACTATCATATTGTGAATTGGAATGCCATATGTGAGCGAATAATATTGTTTTCAATTAAATCTTCATCAGGCATTACTCTAATATACAATAATATTTATTCGCGCATATGAAATATTTTTTCGTCAAACTCTTTTTCAAATATGTGCTTGACTGCCTAATTATTTCAACACTTATTATTACGTAATTCTAATAATTTTTAATGAATGTTATTTGAATGTCCACTTTTTCAAGTCGTTGACTTACTGCTTGTTATGAAACATTGATCTAAACCTTCATTATACTTATCACAATTACTACATTTGTCGTTATGTACTTTTTACTTTTCATGCCTATTTGTACAATTTATTTGACTGTTATCACTGACTCATTAACTGTCTTGATTAGTTTAATATTTTCATATATGCAAATAAATATTACTGCATATTAGAGTAATGCCTGATCAAGATCTAATTAAACAATGGAAAATGGTCAGGCAATTTCGTGGATTGGTTGAGGTTAGACATTAACACCGTTGGACGCCGGCTCAGTGGTCTAATAGGTTAAGGGTTCGCGTGCGTGACCGAAGGCCCTGGGTTCGAATCCCGCGAGAAGGATCGTGGATGCGCACTGCTGAGGAGTTCCACAATAGGACGAAAAGGCTGTCCAGTGCTTCCAGGTTTTCAATGTTGGTCTAACATCAATCGGTTCAAGATCTCAATTAATAATCTCCACAACCCTATACTAAAAAAAGATATCTAACTTGGAAGTAAAAATATCACTATATAATCTCTTATTATTTATATAATTGAAATTTTCATATTTCATGCGTTGAGGAAATTCACATTGTACAGGAACCACTAATATATTCTCATATTGAAGGTTAAACATCTTTGTATAAAAGGTTCGAATATATGTACTTTAAATTTTATTTTGTTTGCTGTCTATAATTCTGTATTTACAATACCAAACAAATTTAATCACAAACATTATCTCATTTAACTTTAAAAATGTGGAATAATGTAGTGATTTATTCATTTTAATTTTAATGTACTCAATTTATTGATTAGTCATTTTGCTCAGTTATTATTTGTATTTATTTCCGGTGTAAAACTAAATAGAATAAGCTGTTTTCCAGTCGAGTGGTTCTGGTTGTTGTTTTTCTCCCGCATTAGTTATTAACTTTGGACAGAGATATTTTTTATAAAAAAAAGCGTTACACGTATTTAGTTTATACACCAGTTAATATAAAATCAAACGTGTCTTTTAAAAATTGTTGGTAACTTTATTATAGGTTTTTTCATATGTTTACTGACAGATAAATAAGTAGTTAATCAGTGTTACGAAATCTGATTAATCTGTGTAGGCTAATTCATTTGTTAACTGCATTATCTTGTCATACTGTCGTCTCATTAGTCTATTACAATTATTCATGAGAAAATAATTACGAATATATTTTTCAAGCTTAATATGAGGCTTAACTCATCGATAAAGTAATATTTCGATAATGCAATGAGAAGACGTAGTTTATCAGAATTATGTGATATATATGCGCAATATATTTCGAACAATCTGATCACACAGATACTTGTTAAGAACATTTATATATGAAAATTAAAAGGTCAACTAGACAGGTTAAGGGTGGGTGAACATACACCAAAATGGTTGCAGAATCAGATGAATTCCAATGGTCAAATAAGATCACAGGATAGACAGACATCATCCATTGCAAAACATTTGATTGAGACGGGTCATAAGGTTGATATCAAATCAGCATTTGTTGTGTTGTACAAAAGCCTTCAAGGACGTATACTAAGGTTTATTGAAGCCTTAGATATACGGAAATTGAAACCCCCTTTATGTGTTCAAGAATAATTTGTCTTTACACTTAACCTACCCTGGTAATACTATTTATTATCCAGAGTGGTAATCACAATTATTTTTATGTACTTTAATATTTTTCCTTTGTTATGACACCCTTAATCTGTCTAGTTGACCTTTTAATTTTCATATATAAATGTTCTTAACAAGTATCTGTGTGATCAGATTGTTCGAAATGTTAAAATTAAAACACGAATTTCAGCGAAGGGATCTCTTTTCAACGAATTTATTATCAAGCTGTACAATCAATTTGTGGATCTGTTGAATGGTTATAGTCGATTAGGTGTTCAAGTATACAACTCCTAACTGCTTTCCTTTCACCCTTATTGACTTTAAGGTTGTTTATATGATTCGTTCAAATCTACCCAGATTTCTTCGTATCCAACTTTTAAAAATAGCCGAAGCTCTTACCATCCAGGAGCTTAAACCAGAACTATGCGTACAAAAGAAGTACGTCTTATCGTTATCGTTACCTTGGCCTTAATTATTTTGATTCTCCTACTATTGTTATTAATATTAATATTATTATTATTACTGCATTCCCCCCTTTACTTATGTCTTATATTCTCATTGTTTTATTCGTGAATACTCATCATATCACCATATTTATTTTTTACACCTCTATGACCTTTAATTATTATATCAAAAACATTTTAATCATCTTATTATATTCACTAAGTCTGTTGTTATTATTCATATTGCGTAATCTAGTATTATAACCTTTATATTAACTGTGTTCACATTTCCTCACGGAATTAGTACTTTTACAAAAACAAAATTTTCATATATATACGATTGTACAGCTTGTTAATAAATTCGTTGAAAAGAGATCCCTTCGCTGAAATTCGTGTTTTAATTTTAATGTTTAAATGGGAATTATCTGTCAATGTTCGAAATGTATTGCGCAAATATATCACATAATTCTGATAAACTACGTCTTCTCATTGCATTATCGAAATTTATCAAAGGGACTAATTGTTTTAAACAGTAATATTTGTCTGTTATTTCTGCAACCAAAACCACCGTTTGCATAGAATTACACATAATCCCTCACAAATCCATCTATTAAGACAAGAATTCACTTTTATTTCAGAGTGAATTTCGTAAGATTTATTTTTCAGTTTACCTTCGACACAAAAATTCTATTTTTGAAACCAAAATAAACTTCCTATATAAACCAACAATCGGGTTTATGTATAAATTGTTTTCATACAAGTGAAGAGCATATGATTGACACATTGATACATAGAAAGGTCGAATCTAATACTATTTGTTTCCTTTCCGTCTAGACTAAAGTAAATTATTATGTTATTACACAAACCTGTGACGAACATAATTATGTATATAATTTTATTTATGGATGTAATTACGTGGATTAGTTGAAGTTAGGCATAAATACCGCCGGATGTCGGCTCAGTGGTCTAGAGGTTAAGTGCTAGCGCGCGAGAGCGAAGGTCCTGAGTTCGAATCCAGCGAGCGGGATCGTGGGTGCGCTCCGCTGAGCCCTATAATAGGACGAAACGGCTGTCCAGTACTCCCAGGTTTTCCTTGGTGGTCTAGCATTAATTGACTCATGAATTCAACTATTATCTATACAAAACCCTTTCTGATAAAACAAAAAATATTCCATCAAGATATCCTTGGTAATAGACTAATGAAATGTCATTTATATATTAGTCGACTACAAGGAATGATTATAAAAGTTAGTATTACTAAATTTTTACTAGAATTGTTAGTCTGAATAAAAATACCTATATAGAATCTAAATTAAGACATTCCACTTAAAAAATTAAGTTATACACCATTTCATACGTATTAATAACAAATAGAAAATGGTCTCTAGTGCTTTTTCGAATAGAGACAGCTCTAATGGTCTCAGTCTAGCATGTCACATTGAATGGATATACGTTAAACGCAAGACTGAATATGTCATTTACAAAATATCTGTATGCTAATTAATACTGATGATATTTTGTCAGTAATTTAGTTAACATTTGCTAAGTGACTATGGAATCAGCAACTAATTATTAATTTTTTTAGTAATGCATTTGCTGATAATATTATAGATTGAACTTGTAGGTAAACATGTTTTATAAATAGGCATTAAAGTGATGTCAGACCAATTGTAAGATAAAATATACAGTGCTGACTTTCTTGTAAGCTAATGAATAATAATAACGATGAAATTATCTTCAGGTTGCCGGGATCTCAGAGCTAAATGGATTAGTTATGAAGCTTTCATTGTTCTTCTGAACAACGTTATCAGGACGTAATTTCAAGGGAATTGAGCTATCAGGGTTTCCCCAAAACTGATTAACAGATTGTTCTTTTAGCCTGAGGTTGATTGTTTTTGATAATTGTGTGATCGTTGCTTGTATGTTTATTTTAGTTGTTATATGTCCTGACCCGAACTCTTATCTTGCTGTTGTTGATCGTTTATCTTATTGGATGATAGATTTTGTTGGTTCTAATGTCTGCTGATTGATGTTTGTTCAGAGTTCTTCGGTTGTAAAACTTTTCTTGGTTTTTCCATGTCCGGTATTTTGACGTTTTTCAGTCGAACTCATGTCCACAGTTGTCCACATGCTTCACAAATAATCTATCTAACTCAGCGATTACTGCAACTCTAACATCCTCATCCTGAGCTACAAACATTCCCCATCATCTTAATATTGTAAACGTTTGACACTGTCTACTAACTTTTCCAAAAACCAATTTTGTTTATACATTTCTGAATTTCTCACCATTTATATTTCATCTCAATTTAAAATACTTTTAGAACATTTTCATGGAAAAATGATCATTGGGATGAGCTCCTTGACAAAAAAGGAGAAATATGAAGACCTACTTACGAATACAGTAGATAAATCACAGGCTTCTGTGGAAGAATGTCCCTATACCAACAACAGCGACTACAACCAATTAGTCGACAAAGAATTTTCCACAACTGTTCATTTTAAAGCTAATTTATTAAACAAGAATAAACGGAAAGAAAGTCATTCATCTAACGGCTACTTATTACCTTCAACTAGTGATAATGAAGGTTACACAAAAAGTAGTGACGATAATTCGAAAATAAAACAATATTATATACTAAAGAAACATTCCAAATATTCTACTAATGTTAACTCGCATTTACTCACCCTTCAGCAGTTAACAACTTTAAGTTGTTTAAATGCTGAAAACGTTCAATTAGTTATGCCACGCATAACTGAATTACTCCGAACAGACGTGTTACGATCGAACATTGAGTTATTTGGAAGATTCAAGACCATACATTCACGTATGCAAGAGGTGATTTCTTCTAACAACTCAAATTCTATGCTACTTCTAAGTGTCAATGATCGTCAAACTATTTATGATGGTCTACTAGCCATCAGTTTAGTTGACAAAGAAACACCTCAAACACCAGTACTACATATGTGGTCGGACTCGAGATTGACTAAAACATTGAACACACTTCAGTATGCACGCGATAATTTATTTTCATCAGTTCATAAACACCACACCGTTATTGACGATAACAATTATAATAGTAGTGATATTATAATTAACCCTCAAGAATTCGATCAAATCAAAACGACATTATTGGAGATAACTAAAATAATTAAAACAAATGAAAAAACATCATTTTTCCAGGATAAGCAATATCTGTCTGATAGCATTGAAGAAGTTATTAATTCCTTAGAAAAGATAGATCCCAATATTTCGTATAAACGAAATTCTCAAGTTAATTCAGAAATTGTTCAACATTTGGAGAACATGATTAGCTTAAATCATGGATTAATTATTAATCATGGCATAGAAGCTATAAAACAAAATGTTGAAAGAGAATTTCCAAACAATCGATGCGCGTTAAAAAGGCAAACTGCTATTGATATTGCAACTGCTTTACAGCTTCTTGAAAATGAATATGATAATTCTGTTACAGCTTCCATGACTAGTGATAATAAAATTCAAAATATACCCAACATTGACCACTTAAAGTACATTCATAAATCCATTAAAAAACAACTATCAACAAGTGAAACAGATTGTTTTGTAGATAAAAATATTATCTGTCAATCCAGTGATATACGTTTAGTTGAAGAGGCTTTAACAAATCATTTCAATAAAATTAATCATTGCTTAAAAATATCCTTACAGAAAGAACCAATCAACCTTGTAAACACAGGTCCTAAAATTCCTCAAACAACTCATGGAAACACAGTAACAAGATACCAAAATGTTCTCACTCCAATCAGTGAATATTGTACTTCACAAACGAGTCCATATGAAATAAATTCAATTTCTAATGAATCCATTGTTAAACATAACTTGGTTTCTAAAAAGCAACAACTAAACAATATTTTAAATCAGATGAATCAAACTATAATTGTTCGCTCAGATGAAGAAAATAAAGCAATATTAGACAATTTTGATAACGTCTCAGTACCCTTTGGAAGTGAGCTTCCAGATTTATCTACTTACATTGATGATACTCAAAGTAAACATGACGAAAATAGTACATTTTCTGATCCAAATTCATCTTGCATCACTATATCAGAGCAATCCGAGTTGGAAAGGGATTTATTTGTTGATTCTTCTGTGATAGCACCTATTATCAGTTATTTAAAATCAAAATTACTTGAAAATAGAGTGAATAATTTAAATATGATTAATGATTATTATTCTGATCATACAATAAACGATATCCAACAAGTAAGTAACTATTTAGTTAAATGTCTGAATACAAATTCTGAAAAACCCGTCAGGCTTAATAGTACACACATAAATCTTCTAAATAAATTATTCATTGCAGATCAGTCAGCTTACAGTTGTATTTTGAAAAAGCAATTAGACTTATGCATAAACTTGAAAGAGACAGCTAACTCAGAGTTTGCTTCAGAAAACTTGCCAGTAGTAAATGAAGAGCTATATTTCCTTATTAGCAATTTAAAAGACAATGAAGACATCATTACGAATACATCATTTGTTGAAAGCTTGTGTACAGCTGTGACCAAGTATCGTTTGCCCATTTTACCAGAAACATATCCATGTTTATCAGATATTATCAATAATCTAAATCACATAAAGCCGACTTTTAACAGTTCTTTATTATACAAAGAGAAATTAAGCGATGAATTAAAACAATTACTGGAAGCCCTACAAATTGAATTGCAGTCAGAAAATATGATAAATAATGGTAGTTTAGCTAAACATCTGTTTCATTTTCCAATAACCATAAATCCTGCATCAACATTACGGAAGGATGAAATTTTTCCATCGAGACCAACAATATTTATGCAAACTGTGATATCATTATATATTTTAGATTTGTTTTGTTCCTTGCCTGATGAAATGAATAAATTGATTTATCTGTTGAGTATACGTAGGAATTTTCTGTCATTAGTTGATTTTTGTGAATCACCATCTATACACTGTTCACCAGTCTGTACAAAATTGAAATCACTATTTAAGTTATGTATTTTACCGAATGAAAGTGAACTGAATGACCTAACTGTTGCCAATGATACCAATGGTGTTAATGTAACTCAAATAATCAACAACATGTTACCATCAATTCAAGTTACTGTGCAGGCAACTAAAATTAGCAACTCCTATCAAAATCATATTGAAAATCTTCTACTTCAAATAAGAAACAAGGTTACCAGTGAAAGGCATTACTTTGTAAATGGGGAAATGGATGATATAACGTGTGGGATTCTTATAACTTTGACTACCATATTCACAAAAGGTTTTGGAATCAATAATCCATATGAAATTGCTACAACACTAGGAAAATTTACCAAGTTTTATCATTCTCTTATCAATTCCAAATGTGTAAAAATGTCAGAAGATGTCTCCACATCAATATTATCTTTAATTTCAGGTGAATTACACAGCAGTCACTTTCTAAATGTCATTATCGAGTTGGCAAGAAAAATCTGGCAGATTTGAATCGTTCTATTTATGAAGCTGCATCTGATTGCCTTTCTGAGTTGTCAGAGTACAAAAAGATGAGATTTCTTAATTCACTCGTCCTCCTTGGTATCTTACTTTCACAAAGACGTTTACATTACAATTTAACAGACTTTGCGTCGGCAGAAGCAAATATACTAATCGGTATACTCTTGCTTTTCCTATCAAACTTTCATGTTAACCTTCAAAATACATTTGTGAATGTCACAAAAAAGCTGGTGAAAGCAATTCACAACATAAATTCATCGCTTTATTGTACAAAGCTAATTACATTTCATTAAGGTTTCCACCAAATTTTACGCCAGTACTAGATGCATGGTTAGTCAATCAAAAATTACAGATTGACGGAGTAAAATCACTCGTTCCTTATACGTCATCTAGCAACCAATTAAATCATCATTTAGAAACCTGTAATATAACATCATCTGAAGCTACAGCTGAAAAACCTTTAGAATACAAACATAGCAAAGAAGAACTATTATTTGAAACTTTCGTCGACCATAACTTGTATTTACATGTCTTAACGTTAGAGGAAATTCTAAGTCAATCAACAACAGATCTACCCTGTACATTGAAAGTGAAACCACAAAACTGTAAATTCTTTTTAAGTTGTTTGTCTGGCATTATTGCTTCTCCTATGTTAATACCTACTGATATGGTGAAACTTACACTACAAATCATACAAGAAATTCATTCTAACAAAATTTATAATGGTTATGAGATGAATGAAGAAACTTCAAAGAAACTTATTAATTATTGTGAACGTTTAGCAAATACATTAAAAGAGAAATGTATCAAATCTGAAAGCTGGAAAATCGTAAATTCAAGTACATGCCAAACAGATGAGAACGATGAAGTTCTTGATTCCATACAATATACTATAAATTCGAATATACTTTTTAATGTAGTTGAAAATAAAATGAAACCAACAACGTGGCTTGCTATGACATATAAAAAAGAAAGTTTACATGCAGTTGCGGATAACTGTATACCTTCAGAGGTTTCCCTTCTTAACGAGAAAGTTTATTTAGGAATTCTTCATAACTCTGCAACTATTAATAACTTCAGCGATCAAATAGTTTTATTTACACATATAAATAGATTGAAAGCAATTCTTGAAAGCACAGATCACAGTGAAATTTGTTCATTGAATGCGGAAAATATAGAAAGTTTATTCTGTATGCTCGAATTTATTAAAACTCAATCAGATATCATAAAGATACTAAAAAAAGATCAGGACTTCCTAAGTTTAATTAAATTAAATGTTATTCAAAACTGTGTAAATTCTACTCCATTTTTTATCAATTCAAAAATTAAAATTAAACTACAAAATATTCTTCGAAAAGTATGTTATGCTCAGTTCAATATTATTGAAAACACGATATCAGATCATCTCAGGGGCTTATGTTTGCCGAATGATGTACAGTTTAGTGTTCAATCTCTAAATAATTTAATTCTTGGTCAAGTGGCTATTATGGCACATTCAAAACAACTAAATATATCGACTGATCATATTGATTTGCTGCGTGATTATTGTCTTTCTTCTCAACACTCTAGAAATGTGAATGGGTTATCCAAACAAATTGTACCTTTTACTAATTTTTTATCAAATATCATCAATATTTCTGATTTACTACTCTAGAAAGCCATAATAAGAATATTCTATATTTAAAACTGAAGGAATATCAAGAATTTTATAATCGAATTAGAACAAGTAAAGATATCGGTAATTCGACATTAGCATACGAAATTTTGTTTAAGACTATTGAACTTGAACATTTATCACGATCATACTCATTGGAAATCCAGTGTATTCCAGAATCTTTAAAATGTTCATTAATTAGTTTGTTAATTTTAGGTGAACAATTTTTCCCGCTTGCTCTTAAAGTGGAGGAACAGATTCATTTAGATTGTATAGTAGGCCAGCTTGACGATATAAGAAATGAATTAATAAATACAGGCAAAGTAGTCAGGCCTATTACAGTGATCAAAGTTGCTGAACATCCGGCTATGTTAGGAAAAGTAGAACCGTTTGAGGGTACATTATTAGTTTCCAGAGTGAGCAGCCAACAGCCATTTTTGAATACTACTGCTTCATTAGTTTCCAAAGCTAACATATTAGAAACTATTGAAAAACCATGCAATCATCAATTTCATGAAAGACCATTAAGTACTGAGCTGAATGCTAATGAAAATGAGAAAGAATGGAAGATTCCAACTGTTAAGAAGATGACTGATAAATATGACAGTTCATTTGCATCTCAAACTTCGGATAACATTGAAAATTCGAAATCCAAACCTTCTGAAAACATAAAAACAGCCATTTTGGTTCATGAGATTTGCTCAAATGAACAATTGATGAATCAAGTGACCTCCAATGAAATCCAAAAACTCAATGATATTGACGTCAAATTAACAGAGAATAATCTTCCAGCAAAAACGATCAATACATCTGAAATATTCACTCAAAATAACACAATTAAGAAGGAAATATTACAAAATTCCAAATTTTATACTTCAGAAACAGATAGTGAAACACAAGATACTTTAGATGTCGTTAGCAAAAACTCTGATTACTTGATTTCTGTTATCTCAAGTCAACAGAGTGAAGACACAGATGAACAGGCGACGATTTACGAGCTTTATTCAAAATCGATAGTAAAAGAACAAGATATTGACATTAAAACAGCTTCAATACTTATTTCTACAATACGATCGTATTTGAAACTGAGACCGTTAACTACAATTCAAATAACCTCATTATTTTCGCTACTGGAAAATATTAATTCACAATTAGAAATATTGGAAAGTGTAAAAGATGTTTTATCATTTCCAACAATTAAACTGTCTTCCGGTGATCTAAAACCATTAGCCACAATTTCTACTAGTATTAAATCTCAAATCTCACAAGAAACTATGACATCATGTACAGATTTGTTAAATTATAAAATTATCTACGATATTATTTCCTACCGTACTTCAATTTGGAAAACAGAATCTGCGATTGCCTATAGTGCCTTACGAGGTCTGCTACCCTCAACCACCGCTTTCTCTATATCTTCCTCCCATGATTTACATTCGTCTTTTATAAATTCAGTTTATGACTCAAACTATGGTGAAAAAGAGCTACTTATATTAGAACAACGTCTATTGCACTATTATTATTCATTAGAGGAACAACAATCATTTATTCTGACTGATGCTGAAATCAAGTCATGTAAACTTCTTCTCCGACAATATGAATCTAAAATAAAATCAAGAATTCTACAAGAAATTAAAAAGGCATTACACTTAGTTAATCAATCAAATGAATACAATTCTGAACAAGAAGAATCATTTTTTAAGAATGTCTTCTACTTAATTTTGATATGTTTACCGAATTTAGCCATAGACAATGCGGAGTTCCTACAAATGCTGATTAACTTATTAGTAATACATCGTCTTATTTATACCTCAAAAAATTATGCACACTGTTTGAAAATAATTTTTAATTCTTATGATGTTTTGCACTTTTTTGAGAAACAAAGTTGCTTGAGACATTTCTTTGAGGTACAGTCTTCCAGTCTTTCATCATCATCATCTAAACATTATACGATTCTTTTCGCGAAAATCTTGGAGCGTTTTGTGAACTCTAGAATATTAAATCAAAGCTTATCTTCCATAGATATTTTGCTATTAGTAAGTCTGCTACAAAGAATCCAATCAAACATAATAAACGATGTAGAATTATCATTCCACTTAAAACACTTAATCACTAGATTGCTGTATGTTTTTATTACAAGTCAAAATATTTTCATGGATAAACTCAGCAGCCGTTTACTAAATGAATTATGTGAACGACTAAAATCAGAGTCAATAGATATGCAAGTACGTATATCTACTGAAGCTTCTAAATCCTTAGACATAATTAAAAAAGATATTAAGTTTAGTCAGTCAGAACACTATCAGTCAGTTTTTAGATCTCTTGAAACAGTTTTATTTAATCCAATAGAAGTACTAACTGAACCACTAAGAGCTAAGCAAATAGCTTATATAATCAAAAATTTAAATCAATTCGGATATTGGTTATTGGAACAACCATATATTGCTCAATCTATTGAACAAAGCCTAAGTACTCTTTGTGACACCAATTTACATATAAATACATCATCTACTAATGTAGCGATTATTTTTCAATGTATACAAGTAATGATGAACCACTTCAACAAAAATGTCATTGAACCGTCAGTATCTCAAGTGATGAATAAAGAAGATGCTGCAGCTCTTAGCACATCACTTTCATGGTTTTTGAGTGGAAATTTAGATTTCTTGAGTGATATTGTCGATAATTCTTTAGAAGAAAGTGTCTTTATAAACTCACCTGAATCTTGGACTAATTTAATGCTGCTACAATTGTGGTACACTTCCATAGCTTGCACTCATCCACTCTGTCATACTTCACAACAGGCTCATTCAATATTTACTTCAGAATTAATAAAATTAACAAGGCTTGAAGTTAATCGCTTAATTGGATTTTGGAAACCTCGTTTAGATTTATACTCACAAAAACAAAGAACAATTAGCATTCAGAAGCTTTCAGCCAGCACAGAGTGTGACTTAACCGCTGAAATGACTAATCAAGAGTTAAGCAACGCGATTCAGTTATCATTGTTAAGTGGACAATTCAATGGACCACGAAGCGCTTGGATATGTGTAAATGTTTTAGATGAGTTACATAATGAGTGTGAACACGAGTTAATTAGTATTTCGAATTCAGAAAAGGAATCATTACGTTACGCTTTATGTCCAAACACCGTAGTCAATTCTTGTGAATCAATTCTAAATACCGATATCGTTGCATCATTAGTTTACCTGAACTCTTTTTTATCTAAAATATCTTCATTAACATATTCAGAACATCCTGAATTAATTCTTATTCAACCAAATGAAGCAGCTCCCTTTGCCTCCAGTATACAAAATATCTTAAAATTTACGCATTCGGATATACACACACCACATTCTTTTCATCCTCTCATGGAAACTGAATACCACCTGTGGATTTCATCTGCAAATCTGAGAACTTCATGGATTTCCAATTTCGAATCTCGTTTAATAGATGACTTAAAACAGAAGGCGTTACAAATAATATTTCAAAATATTCGAATTGAATTAATTAATTTACTGAATGAGTTTGAAGAAGAAAATTTTATAAAACCAAACTTAACACAAATACCAATCCAACCAAGTAACCGAAAAAGTCTTTCTCAATTGCTAAGGGTTTCTTTATTATTAAACCGGTATCCTGTAAGACATACAATAACTATGTTAAATCATTTCCAGTATCTTCATGACATATCATGCTCAGTACTACCAGTGCAAACAGTGTCTTATTTAAGATACTTTGTCAGTTGTATGTTAACAAATCAGTATAACCATTCGCAGCATAGTTACAGTGAAACTTCAGTAGACATAACGTCTTTAATAAATTCATTTACTATTGACAGATTGGATAGTATTCTAATAAACTGTTTTTTCCACGAAGACATTTTGATCCAAATCTACCTCAAGATTCTATACCAATCATACAAACATCATTAGTATATAGCAATACTTGTGAGGAATTGATAAACTTCTTGAATATATTGCCAAGACATTGTCGTCAAAATTTAAATACCTATTTGTACCAATTGTTTTGCACAAATCTTCGCAAATACACAGATCGTCTATTGAAAATTATAATGAACGGCGAAGAATACGCAGAGCCTGATATTAACACTAATAAACTAATTCCATTATGGCTTCATTTCTTAAAATATCTAATACCGAAAGATGTTGAAAATCAAAATAAACTCAGTGAAATATTATCCGCTACAACAATGTCCGTAGATGTAAGACCCCTGTCTAGTATTTGTGTACAAAATGAAAGATTGAAGCAACTGCTTGTTGTTGACCTAAATGATTTGAGCTCATCTGAATTAATACAGTTGATCATCGATTCAGATCAATTTAATCATAATTTGATTTATTCAAAGGTGTTCCATGAAGATTTGGAATTTATACCATATTTAAAATATTATCTATGTAACAGTTTAATTGGTAAATTATGCAGCTATTCACATTTATTCATCGAACAGTCCTTCCCTCAGACAATTTTAAACATATCTTATGAAGAAATTGCTATGAAGTTAAAGGATAATATAAATAAAATCTCCAGTAATTTATCATTAGACAATGATAATACAAAAGTATGTTCACTTAAAATTAATCCAATGGAATCAACCAATGAAATAGGTGAAAGGAAATCTGATATAATTTCTGATAATTTGACTAACTTTTCTAGTTGTGAAGATTTACTATATCCAATGGAAGATGTAAGACCCGAAATAAATCGTCTTAATCATTTATTAGCTATAAACAGTTTACAACCAAATGAAATGTCTGCAATTCTATCATCCATAGTTATTTTACGTGACGCATCAATGCATTTACCATCAAATTTAAGTAAATATACACGCTTTTCATTGAAAGAAGAAGATGCTTTAAACAAGTTACAAATGTTGATCGACCAAAAGACAATTGTTAAACTTGATAAACAATTAAGACACACTTTATTATTACTGAGCCAACGTTTGGGTCTTCTAGCATTACAGGCGAATAAAGATTTATTGCGTACAGGTTTAGAAATATGGTTAAGCGCCTCATTGGATAGTGAACTGATATTTACTAAGCAACAGGTTCAACAAATCTACTATGCTTTATACTTAGCAGAGCAAATAAACAATCAAGAATATAAATCACAAACGGATTTGTACGATACATTTGATTTAGTTGAACAAGTTATTTTACAGTTAAAGCCACTTGTTAATTCTAAATTTGGTGCTGAAATCAAAGGTCCTCATAGTTTATGTCCAATCGTAACTCTATTCATAGAGAATGCACAACAGTTATTAGAGCAAGTAACATATTCCTGCAAAGTTTCCACCAATGGAATTTCAAATCATTCATTTGATAAGCAGAAGACTACAGCTGAAAACTTATGGAAACTAATTAGTTGTCAATCACCGGAAGTTATAGAAAATGAGCTGAGTAGTTCCATTCATACTCAGTTAATAAATAGTTCAGAAGATATAACGGACGCTGAAAAATCATCTAAACAAATCAGTAATAAACCTTATAAAACACTAAAAAGATGTCCTGAAATTGATGAATGCAATATACTTCAAACCAGACAATCTTATGATCGTAGTCTGAGTTATGGAGAAAATGACCATTTTCAGTTGAACAGCCAACTTTCTTGCGACAGTTCACTGTCATTACTTGCTTTATATAATGAAGAAAAAAGACGTTTTTTGAGTTGGGAAGAAATGACTGAGACGCGTCTGCGCAAAGCATGTGAAAGAGTAGAAAATTTATTGGGAGCAATCCCTGAACATGTTTATCTACAGAACAATTCTGGTCATACAGTCACACAACTTAGAGAAGAGGTAGTACTGTTGAAAAGTCAATTACACACTATGATAAAACAAAAGTTTTTGAAAAAAGATAATCTTATTTATTCAAGTGATGAAAGTTCAGTGTTATATAAAAAGGACCAGCGGAACTACTTATTCGATGGTTCACTATATACTCAAGAAAATCAATCTAGTTACCAAGGAAAACTCAATTTTGACTATATTCAATTGTCAGAACGTGATACTCGCAGACCAAAAACATCAGTAAATGGTAGACTGTCATCTAGTACATGTTCACTGAAGACTTTTCCATCTTTAAGCCAACGCATAAATCAAAATTATTTGGTTTCATGTAAACCCGTAACGCCGAATCATGTTTTCTCTTCACCATCAAATGTTGATAAAAGGATTTTACAGAATTCATTTGACCGATTAAATGAACTAATTGAAATTCGTCGAGCTATTGTCTCTGGATCCAGAGAAGAACTACGTAGATTAGGAATACATTCTAGTTCATCAATACCTTATTACAAGCCCTTTACACTAATTCGTCCACGTGACAACAAATCATTTGGTTTGCTTGGCAGTGACAGTCACGAAGAATGGTTATCAAGTAATCAGCGAAATACTGACAGGAAACGAAATTATACTACCCATCTTTGTAGATCCAAGGATGAGTATTCGAGAAGTAACCAAGCCATAGAGGACTTGGAAAATAAATTAGGACAACTTGAAAAACAAATACTACCTCACAGATTTAATGGTTCGGTTGTACAGTAGGTAAGTAATTAGTTTTACTAGTATGTTTATTGGTTGGTCTGTTAATTCCTTACCAAAACAACCATTTGTCTTATATTTACTAAGCATCACGGTGTATTTTATTGCTAATACGTGCGTCATATTTAAACTTGAGAAATATGTATAGAATACGAATTTTAATCGTCAGGAATTCTGTACACTGTCGCTGTAGTGGATTTATGTTGCTACATATTTATACTAATAAATAACGTTTAACTAATAAGTATATCTTATTGAGATGGTGGACCGACCAATGTTAGACCACCATCGGAGACCTGGAAGCTCTGGACGAAGCTACCCATCAGTGAGTATTCACGATTCTGCACGCAGGACTCAAACCAAAGACCTTCAATCCCATGCGCAAACGTTTAACATCTAGGCCGCTGAGCCATTATCTAACGCTGTTAATGTCTAAGTAAAATCCATTCATGATGGCCTAACATTGATCGGTTCATGATCTAAATGAAACCTAAAAATCTCCACAACCCTTTACTGGCAACTACTATATGCCACAAATCAGCAGAATTAAACGATACTCCATTTTTCTTCTTCTTTGATCCCCTTTTGTAACTTCAAAAAAGGTTTCATAATTATTCAGTGTTTGTTGACAATAAACGATTATTAATAGTTTAGTTTATGAGTCGATCTGAGCTAGACCACCATTGAGAACCTGGAACCACTGGATGGCCGTTTCATTCCAGTATGGGACTCCTCAGTAGTGTACATCTACGATCCCGCATGCGGCACTCGGACCTCCGGTCTCTCACGCGGACGCCTAACCCTCAGACCACTAAGCCGATATCCAACGATGTTAATGCCCAACTTCAATTGAAAAATGATCTTGAGCAACCAATCGTCCATTGTCTGGGGTAGGTACCTGTCTCTATCCGGCACGTATTGGAATCCACTGGTTACGCACAGTGGTCTAGGATTTAAGCGTTTGCACGCGAGATTGAAGGTTCTGGGTTCGAGTCCCGCATGCGGGATCGTGGACGCACTGCTGAGAAGTCCCATACTAGGACGAAACGACCATCCAGGTTTTCAATGGCGGTATAACTTGGATCGATTAATGAATTCAACTAATAAAATTACAACAATCTCCACAAACCCCACTCTGATAATAACTGATTAGACGTACTTGCGAACTGGTGTTTGCACAGAGATCTGTTTTTCTTAAGTTTTTTTTTATATATTGACAGCCATTCTTTTTTGTATCTATCAAATATGAAAAACATTACATGTATCTTAGGTAATAGTGATATCCTCATGAGACTCTCTGATTGATTGCTCACCTTAAATTCAGTACACCACTGAATACCAAGGGATAATTGGCCATCTTAGAATCAAACTTTAGCTGTTCCAAAGATCACAATACTAATGAGCTACTAATTCGACAGTCAATAGCTTTCATTTCCAATGTTATTCGAATCGCGATGTTTGTGGTACTCAATAGTCTAATCGACTACAAACAGCCTCACTCCCTATTTGTTTTATTTTACAAGTTGCTCCTTCATACTGAAACTCCGAGCAATCTATTTTGAAGCCAGTCCCTGAGTAGCGTCAGGTTGATCTGATTGAGGAGCGACTATCGTCACTAAATGACAGTGTATCCAGTTTGCCACCCTTATTCTCAACCAAACACTGAACGAATAAGAATGTCAGTATTTTTACGCCAAGTTCAAACTAAATTTTGGTGTTTTATTAACCACTTCCTAAATTATTTTCATTTAATATATCTTCATCACATGTCGTTACAGTATTCAAAACAGAAAGATACAAGGATTTAGTAATGAAGAAGATCATCATTCAAAGACATAATATGGTTGGCTAAAATAGAAAAAGATTATTCTTCTTATTTCACTGTTATACTAATAAATCAACTGTAGGTAAGCTGTCAGAAATTGGATTTCTACATCAACTTTAGCGATAAAACATTAACATTGTGTACATGCTACTAATATTTATAGACAAGCCCATTGATATGATGTCAGTGAATAGCATACACTTACTATTGTTGTTATTCAGTCTGTTAACTTTTTCAATGATAAAACTGTTGCCTAGAATATATTAATTGAGATATTTTTAAAAGCACTCGGAAAGGAGTATTTATCTGGTGAAATCAGTGTTTAATTATTCACTCGCGTCAACTGAATCCCATTATGAAATTTCCATACAGTAATATTGTAAGTGGACTTTCTCTATTACTTGGTAACTCGTTGACTTCATCGATAAACTCGTCGCGAGTTGAAGAGACAGTAGCTATTAATCACGTCGAATTCCAAAATATCACAGGGCTCTGACCACTTAACTAAGTAACATACAAATTATATGATTTCAAAACTGTAAATAAGTAATGCTCGGTGAAAAGTAGTGCCAAATTAGAAAGAAAACAATTTCTCATTGACGCTTGGTTTTGGCTGAATTTCGTTCCAAATAGTTAATAGCTTAGAAAAAAAAATTTCAACTAGTTAATAATTATTCATAAGAATTGATCATTTCAACTGTGAGAGTAATTACATTCTTATCTCTGTAGTGATTATTTACTTTAAACAATAAAAAAATATTTTTTTATTTTCATTTTGTTTTACAGTTTAACAAAACAAATAATTTTATTCGACTGTTATATCTACGTTTAATACAACTAAACACTTTAATTTGTATATAAAACTAGTAAATAACTACGAATTCAAGCACTGAATTCATGGAATAATTGGGACGTTTTTGTTTTGCAAGTTACTTTAATTTTACTTTTTTATTCGACATACAACTAATCATATCGGTAATGAATTTTATGTATAATTAATACCATTCCGACTGCTCATTTAGTAAAAAAAAAACAGAACAAAGACAAGATGCTCATCAGTTCATTGTTTTTCAATACAAACATTTTAACTATTGAATATACATTTCTGTAACTTTTACAGTGAAAACAATTTAATCGATAGCATGTATACGTTAGCTCCGTTTATTCAATTTGTCACCAATAATACTTTCATGGGTACCAGTACACCATATCAGTATTTTTTCTAAAGAAGTTAACTTATTTTTGGAACCATTTTGTACATAATATTAGTAATTATTACTGACAATAAATCAAAAGACCCATATATTTCACTGATTATATCTTTTGGCTTTCTTCTTATAATTTTATGTTTTGCAGTTGTAAAACATGCTATTCGAATAGAAACGATTACTTAGATTGATGAAAACTGTTGGTGATTTCTGGATTGTCAAAGGAATCATGTTTACAGCGATTCGATAACAAAAGTTTTTTATTAACTTAATAAATCTATGAATTGCCATATAAATACGAAAACTAGTTCTAGTAGTAACTGTAATCTTTTGGTCAAAATAGATAGTTTTTAGTTAGATACAAGAAAAACGAAATGTGATAAGCTTTAACAAATATGAAGCCTAAGTCAGATTCGAATGAAGCATACATCCCAAATTCCAGTGCTAACAACATTCCATTTGTTCTATAAAATTACCATGGAAGACTGAATTAGTTAAAAACCGTTTTCGAGCACACGAAGGCGGATTAGTTATTTGGAATCTCTACATCAGAATATACTTAAAATGCTAATAAACACTCATGTTGTATGAACAAGAAAGAAAGAAATATTACAAGAGGAATGAAGTTGATGGTTCTGGAATAGCCATCAATAAAATAACTTTTTCTCTGGTGGACGACCATGACTTTTAAGAGTGATATTTATAGGCTCAGTGCCTGAAAATCAGCATTGTTAATTTCCTGCTCATGAGAGATAAGATCCTGAAATAATAGCAACCAACACTATAAAGCTGACCATCTGCTACCAGTTAGACAGATATAGTTTTCAGTACAATTTTTCATATGTTCTACATTGAGTAAGATATTTTTGCATGGATACGCAATCTAGTACAAAATATGCAACGGCTCTAGCGGAAACTCATTCTAAAGACAATAAAAGCCCACGTTTTACCTTATACTATGTGGTTGATGAAATGAAATTAATAGGTAAGTTCACATTTTCCCCGGCTTGATGAAGCATTTTATTCAGTACGATGTTGATTTTATTTTACTTGCTTCCTTACGGAATCCAGCTTGTTGGTCTAGAAGCTGGACGTCTACTGGATCTTTCATTTGGTTCAACAACACTATTGAAAACTTTTCTCATTACCGATGGTTGTATGATACTTCCGTATTTCTCATATTAAGATCTTATTCTGGTATCTTGATGAGCTGTCCCTCCTTACAGCCTGTTGGTATTTGTTCTCGCCCGTAGACCTTGGTGAAGAGAATGCAAAGCGACTTTGCAGTTACCTCTATACCTTACTTCAGTGCTTCGACTAGTATGTTTTCTGGTCCTGCTGATTCCCCGTTCTTGATTTTTGCAATGAATACGCTGATTTCTTCGACTTCATCACTGTCATTAATGGGTGCACAACACTGGTTAAAGTTCATTGTAATCCCCTCCTTCTTTGCTTTGATTGGTGCTTCAATTACTCTGGACCTATAAGATTTTCATGCTGTAAGCGCTTTTTGTGCTTATTTGTACAGCATCACTGCAAATCCTTGTTCACGCGATTTATTTTCTTCTTCATGCTGAAGCTAATCTTTTATATCCACCTTAGGTCCAATGCATTTCACTCCGGGCACCACCAGGTTATATCTCCTCATTTCCGCAACTATTTAATTGGTCCTCTCAGTCCCCCACGTTGTCCGGACATTCTGTGTACCTTGATAATTGTAGCTCTGGTTGTTAGAACGGGCATCGGCCTTGTGACTTACGAAGGATCCTTATTTTATTGTCTGAAATTATTTAAGGTCAATGTTCTTTGTATCATACCATTTGGATTTCATTTTGTGTGACTGATTTTAAATTTCATTCAATTTGATATTTATATTTTCTGTATCAATTCAATGTGAACTATATTCAAAATTGGTTTTTATGGTAAGGCTATGTAGTTATTATGTACACCATGTTATAATGTCTGAAAAT